AAAAGCAGCTGCTTTGGGAGGAAGCCTTGTGTCAGCTGCTGGAGGAGGAATGAGTGTTTTGGTATTTTTAAGAGGTTGTCTCATGCTGAAGTATCACTGTTAGGATGTTGCACTGAGGATTTTTCTGTGCAGGTAGTTTCTCTTCACTCAGCCTTGGATATCCTTAGTGACAGGTTATCCCGACTTATGCAAGCATTTAAGTTGGTGGAGCTGCCTACTGGTCAGGGGGTTCACCAGGAGGCAGCGAACAAGCTCACTTTCTGTTTGAAGAAGAAGAAAAGCAAACACCATGACSAGTCCTTTGAGCAGAAGGCAAGGCACGCTTTTGTAATACGAGATGTGCACTCTATTTTTTTAGCTTGCTTTTCCTTGCAGTTGCACTTTTGTAGCCGAGCACCAGTTGGGTGCAGCACGGGGCCYGGCCAGGAGAGCGCGGAGCGTGTTGGGTGTCCTTGTCCCGCGCGCCCGGGTTGCTCTGCAGCTCTGGTTCCCSGTGCCCCGTGCTCCGGGTGGCCCTGCTGGAGCAGGAGGCTTGGACTAGCTGATCTCTAGAGGTCCCTTCCAACCTCAACCATTTCATGTGTCTGTGTGAGGCTGGGATGTCGCCCATCTGTGTGGGCATGGAAGTAGGGAAGCAATTGCTGGGAATCGTGGCCAAGAAGGCCAATGGGGTCCTGGCTGCATCAGGAGCAGTGTTGCCAGCAGGGCAAGGGAGGTGATTCTGCCCCTCTCCTCAGCTCTGGTGAGGCCGCACCTGGAGTATTGGGGGCAGTTCTGGGCTCCCCAGGACAAGAGGGACGTGGAGCTTCTCGAGAGGGTCCAGTGGAGAGTGACAAAGGTGAATAAGGGACTGGAACATCTCTTGTACGAGGAGAGACTGAGTGAGCTGGGCCTGTTTTCTCAGGAGAAGAGAAGGCTGAGAAGGGATCTGATCAACATGTATAAGTTCATGAAGGGAGAATGCAGGGAGGAAGGGGCCAAGCTCTTCTCAGTGGTGGCCAGTGACAGGACAAGGGGCAGTGGGTACAAGCTGCAGCACAGGCAGTTCCATCTCCATGTGAGGAGGAACTTCTTTGCTGTGAGGGTGCCAGAGCCCTGGCACAGGCTGCCCAGGGAGGCTGTGGAGTCTCCTTCTCTGGAGATCTTCCCAAGCCGCCTGGATGCCGCCCTGTGCCCCGTGCTCTGGGTGTCCCTGCTGGAGCAGGGGGGTTGGACTGGGTGATCTCTGGAGGCCCCTTCCAACCTCAGCCATTCCATGATTCCGTGATTCTGTGAATCACTTAACTGTGGGCAGAGCAACCCCCTTGGGCCGTGGGAGATGGGAGGCGAAGGGGCTGCACCCCAGGGCGTTCCCTCAAAGCAGCTGGCGCGTCCCGGTGCATCCTGGTGCGTCCGCCRCGCCGCGCCGGGCTGGCGGGGGCTGGTCTGGCTCTTCTCTCCACCGCGGCCTTTTGGTTTTTCAGCATGCGGTACCGCTCGGAAGGGGTTTACATTAGCCTTACTTTTAGGAAAACATGTGTTTGCCTTCAGGAATGTCACCRCTGGAAGATGACCACAAGTGTTCAAAAGCACAGGTATAATGCAAGGATCAGAACAATCGTCAGCTATTTTTATAATTTGCCGGGGAGGAGCTCCAAATATAGCACAAATCTGCAAGCTTGCTCTTTTCAACTCCTTTGCAGGTGTGCTGGGACTTGCACCGAGCCTCCGCAACAGGAAGGGGGTCCCTTTCCCGCTCCGAGGCGGGATTACAGAGGACAACTAGCGCGTGGCCCTTGTTTTCTGTAATATTGCTGCCTGTTTATAAACCTGTATTTCAATTCCACTTTTGTCACTCTACACCAACGTAATAAACTCCRTGTAAACGACCCGACCTAGAAATAAAGGAGGAAAAGTCGAATGAAGTCGGGCCCTCTGCGTGATCCATGAGAGGAGCTTCGGGCAGCCCTTTCCAGAGGGGTCGCGCCTGGGGCTTCCTGCCGCTGCTGTGGTCGGTCTGTCTGTCGGTCTGTCTGTCTGCAACCCCCAAATTCCTACTCGAGGAAACTCATTTAACCCGAGCAGCAACTGTTGCTCTCAGCTGAGAACGTTACGGTCATTTTCTCCTGTGTTATCCGTTTGTCCTAGAGTAAGAAAATGCTCCCATTTCTACATGGCAGTTATTACAAACTGCTCTGGAAACCCTGTTCTGCCGCCTCAGCAGAGCTTCTGCGTGCCCATTGCCTGAAGCCAGCAGCAGTAGTYGAGGTCATACCAAGGAAAACAGTCCTTGAGGTGACCGGGTTCCGCTGCTGGAAGCGGYGCGTGGTGCCAACCGACCTGTGCACCAGGGAGCGACGAACGCGGCCGGTGGTGGATGATGTTACGGGGTGACTCGGGGCTACTACGTGTGTGAGGGAAACTCGGGAGTTACYAGAGAGCTCCGAGATGTGACTGGCAAGACACTGACACTGCTCTTTCGGTTTGGTTGGGGTTGGGGTTACATTTAGAACCAAAAACCTACAGCTACGCTGGCTGTAGACTTCTGTTAAATAGCAGCAGCTTGAGTAGGTTTGTTTAATAATAATAATTTTTAAAAGGTTCACAGTGCTAAGGAAGGAATAAAACCTTATTGTAAGCATCTTAAAAAGGATGAAAAAAATCAGCTGTCCTGAAGTTACATCTGCTGTCAAGCTAGGCCTGTGCTGGCGTGATAAAAAGAACTACACCTTGATCTTGGCCATGGACTACAGCCAAATTGCTTTCCAAGCTCCCTGCATGTGAAAATGAAACAGCTGGAAAAGCTGTTACCTGGTCTCAGGAATGTGAATTCAAATCAAAGGACTGGTTTTGAGAGCTCGGAGATAGTGAAGACCGTATCCCACAAGCTCCAGCAATCTAAAATRTATTTCATATTTTAGCTGAATTCAGTGTCCCTCAATATTGTTTCGTTGAGGCATTTATATGATCAGCGTTGCAGTTCAACACTGTAAATGCTGGAGGTAGGGACTAGCTGTGGTTTGCAYGCAGGCATTTAAAAAGCAAAGGCTTTTGTGATCAGTTTAGTACATAATTACGTGTTGCCCACCTTTCCCTTAACTCCAAGAAAGCCAACTCTTCCGGCGTGTAAAGTGCCTCTCCAGAGCCAGCATTGTCTCGTTSCCCTTGCCTTCCCTTAAAAGCATGGTGAGAAGTTGGTTAATGGTGGCTTTGGGTTTCCTGGTGCATTTGATGCCGCAAATAGCCCTTGTGAGGCTTGGGGCCTATTGTACAGCTCAGCAGTGATTCTTCTGTACATGAAAAATGCCTTTACTGCACTGGTGATGGCCCCAGGACGGGCGGCTGCTTCGCCGGCTCTGCTTGTTTCCGCGGCCTGTTTCTGGGTTGCTCTCGCTCCAAGCTGAGTTACCTGCACCACTCAAGCTCGGCGTTCGCATCCCTGCTCAGTCCTGCTGCATTGTAGTGCTTTGTAGTAAAAATATCCGAGGAAAAGAGCAAATCTAAATTTTACTTCCCCTTTAGATTTACAGGCTGCCCAGGGAGGCTGTGGAGTCTCCTTCTCTGGAGATCTTCCCAAGCCGCYGGGATGCCGCCCTGTGCCCCGTGCTCTGGGTGTCCCTGCTGGAGCAGGGGGCTGGACTGGGTGATCTCGAGAGGTCCCTTCCAACCTCAACCATCCTGGGATTCTGGAATCTATGATTTACACAAAGCAGAAGGAAACATGCCAGAGTGCTTGTTTGTGTCCCCCTTGGCCATGGCGATCTGTGTTTCTCCGGATAAAGAACCCATCCTGTCCTTGGAAGTAACAGTCTACATATACAAATGTGAGATCCTAAGAAACRTCACAGCCTAAATCCTGGTGCTGCCAGGAGCCCTAAAGCCCCTGAGGTTTTCAGGGATGGGGAGGGGAGGGAAGGGATAGAAAGGAAGACCTACAGCGTGGAACAGGCCGCGTGCGCGATAGTATCGTGAGGTATTTTATTCCCTTTTGTTGTGAGCAAAGATATAAGATACATTGCATAAGGGTAAGCAATTAACAAATCAGATACTACACGAAATAAAATTGGAGGGGGGGAATTGTCTCTGTTTTGTCTCCCTAGCTCTGTTTCCTCAAAGGCCCTCAAGGGTGACYGGGGCTTTTCTAGCATGTTCAGCTTTTGCCAGTGGAAGTTTTATATCATCATAAGTCTTTCTTAACACTAACACTTAACACACTTAACACTTTAAGTGTCTTATCGTGGTAGAGCTGCTGCTGACAGTCTTCTGAGRGGGGCAGCAGCTGATCCAAACAGTGACGTCGGACAAAATCCCAGGCAGGGGCACAAAACAGGCATTTCCACTGACGACTAGAACTGCAGCTGTCTCATTACTGAGCACCAGGAGAGAAGGAAACTCCAATTCCAACAGCAAAATGAAGGTTGCAGAGGACGTGTAGGCAGGATGAGAGCCTGGAGGTGGAGCAGTACCATCACCCTGCGGTGCTGGAGGCCACGGGAGGTACCCAAACACTCCTCGGGGCACTCMCAAAGAGCTGCAGTGCTCGCAGCAGCGTACGGGGTTTCTTTCAAGTTTGTAAAGCAAACAGCAGAATGTCACCACAGCCTTTAATTTCTCCTTGTACAGACCATTCACAGTACATTGACAGCCCGAATAATATTGCACTGGATCATTAAAAAAAAAAATGCTTCATCTCGCAAGTAGTACTCACTTTTCAAAGCCAACAGATGAACAATTTGGTCAACTTGCACCAAGAAATGGTTAGATAAGAATCCTATCGTTTATTTATACCACATGTATATGTAACCCCAAAGCGAAATGAGACTGAGCTGTAAACCGTTTCTTCGTTAAAGATAGAAAATTAGCAATTCCTCATTGATTAAATGTAGAAAGACTGGAAAAACAAAAGAAATCTGAGAGTTATCTCATTCCTGTTAGACTGCTTATTGTATATATAATTATATTCTATACTGTGAAAGTCCATCTACATTTAAAAATCCAGCAGTCTACAGATTAACATGGTAAAAAAAATAATATATTTTTATGAAAAGAGAAGAAATAATAWTTGCCTCACGGGAGAAAGTTTTCAGGGTGTGACTTTGTTGAGTTTTTAGGTGCAATCTTTGAGGCAACAAAACATCGTTTGGCATTTGGCACTCTAAGAAGGACAATCTTTTAATACTGGCACAAGCTAAAAACAGCACAGAATGACAAAATACAAGACATGACCCTACCGGCAGCCGCGGGGATGCTGATAAGCTATTTTGACCATATGGAAACCCCCTCAGCATTTCACTGAGGGAGACATGAAGGTTTCCACCAAACCATACTTGGTTGCTGCTTTATTTTTTTTTTTTCCTTTTTCTTTTTTAAAACAAACGTTGGGTTTTACTAAAGTCRGAGGGAGAAAAGAGTTTCAAAGGTCCTGTAGAAAAGGGGCAGCGGCCTCARTAGGCGTGGGGCTCGCGCGGGGCCGGCGCGAGCGGGCGCGGGGCCGAGCTGGTGGCGCTGCGGATCACCTCCATCCACCTGCGGGCAGAGAGCACAGGCGCGTGAGAGCCCCGCGGCGCTCGGGAAGGCTTTCCGGGAAGGCTCGGGAAGGCTTTCCGGGAAGGCTCGGGAAGGCTTTCCGGGAGGGCTTTCTTGGAGGGCTCGAGCTCACGCTGCACTGTCGCTGCCCGTGCCCTTCTTGGAGGTGCAAGAACTTGCTCTCCTGCGCCTGCAAGCTGAGCTTCGCCACCCTTGGGCGCCCAAGGGCCTCGAGGGGAGAGAGGCTCGGGCACCCACTGACCACTGACCACACAGCCTCACAGCAAAGGGCAAGTTCAGAGAACAACGGGGGACCCCAAATTCACAACCTCAGCAGTTTTCCTTGGTTTTCCTTGGTTTCATTTGTTCTGCAAGTACCCAGTCTCTTCTCTCAGACAGTCCGAAGGATARGCAGTCGACAGCCACTCTGAACTGTAATCTCTGCAGTGTGATTTAGCTGTGCTTACTAYTGGCTTTGACAGAACTGAAGGGGGACTTTTGCTTTTTCCCAATTCTACCTAATGATTTAACTACCTCTCCTTCACCGTTTTCCTTATTATGGAAAGTCTGCCACGACTTTTTCTTTAGAAAATTTTACAAAAGCTTTCTTTAATATAAGAGGACATTAATTTGTTTTGTCATGTTAATGCTCTCTCTCTTTATATATATATATATATATATATATATGTAAAACAATACCTGGTATGAACAAGCTCCACCTTGTCTAGGACAAGGAGAAGGAATGCCTATTGCTTGGCTCAATATATCTGGAATTCAGTGGGTTATGTAGAAAGGCTGAAGTGTCAGAAAGACATCGTAAGAACAGCAGCTGCTACGGAAAAACTAGGAGATTCTTTCAGATGTGGATTTTATTAGATAAGTAAAATACCTCAGTATCTTTRTAAGATACCCAGTTGTACTACAGGAAATAAACCTGTTCCAGACAGCTACTGAAATGTTTTCCAACCTGATTATGCATCAGATCCAGGGAAGTGCTGTGTYAAGCGCCCTGTACTGCCAGCTAGGTCAGTGCTCAGTGGGTAATGCCTGTAAGGAATCCCTGCTCTGCAGTGACTGTATTGCGCTGCTGGCTGTTAGCAAAACAACCCATTTGCTTCTGGCATCATCAGGTGTAAAATTTCTTCTAAAAATKTAAAGGACTCTTTCTGTAGCTGGGCCAAACTACTTGCCTCTGTTACTGAAGCAATTTGCTAAACTATCAAGCACAGTGTCTATATCAATCTTGCCTGAAAAAATGCAGGAATTAAAACAAAACAAAAATAAAAGATCTCACAGGAAACGGGCTTACCTTTCAAACGTGTATTCACTTTCAGCCCTGAAATAGTACACGTGGGATTTGAAATGCAGCTTGAACACGTAATCTTTGTGAATGTTTTCAGATTCAGAAGGAATGGTAAGTGAATATCCCAATAAAGGAAGGCTGGCTAAAGGATGATTGTCCTGAAAATAAATGGCGAAAAAMACTATGAGTTCAAATGCCCTCAAGGACAAACAGCAGTTAGGGGAGAGCAGGGAGACTGTCCCCTTTTTACTGTGCCCATTTCAAGCTGTTCTTGCTGTTTCCAAGTTTGTGTGGAAAAACATCACAGATTTGATCTTACAGTAGCAATGGGATCTACAGCATATCCTAAACTCACTCGATTTCCTTTTCCATGCAGAAACTCCAGCACTAAGGATTCTTATAGTACGGAAAGCACAACGTGGCAGTGCTTACACCTTTCTTAAACACAAAATGCAAAAGCCCAGGACACTCTGGTCAGGAAAAAGAAACCAGTTCCCTGGGAGGATGTTTCTCCAGATTAAATACTCACTGGTAACTGCTCTTGTTGGACTGAACCCTTCTGGTGGTAATTGTTGTGCTTTTAGGAATATATATTGCAACTATTGAAAGTTTCATCCCATGGACAAGGATGTCAAGAACCAGCCTCAATTCCACATTGCCACAGTGGTCGTGTTGGCTGGGTGCCCTCTTCATCTTGCCTAGCACTTCCATGCTCAGCTTTCCCTCTCTACTGATACATGGAAAATAAAAAATACCTATCGAGCCACACTGACTGGTGCAGGGTGTTACCTGATGCGATTTATAGAAGAACATGCAGAAGTTGGTGAACACCACCCAAAGCTTCTGCCACCCGTTGCTGTTCTTGAACTTTCTTAGGAGATTTCCAGACAGCTGATTCTGAAATAAATCAAAAAACAGTCAAATAAAAGAGTGAAATGTGCATTATAAAGGTATATAAGAAGGTGGAAAGTAGCCAGGCCCAACATAAAGGAATGTTTGCATTTTTACTTAAGTTATTTAACCTTAATTCCACTAATTTTGTAGTAAGCTTAGAAATATCTGTCCTCCTTTAGTAGGCTTGTCTGTTGTGCAATTATTAAGCACAATAATGGAAACAGAAAACTTGACAAGAATATATGATGCAAAGAAAAATCAGGGTGTTTTAGAATTGCCGATGGAGTTTGAGGTGTCAGTACCCAGTGAACTAACATGGCAACTTTTCAAAGATTTTACAAGCCAGKACTGTTAACCTCAATCCTAGCAGGATTTGGGAAATTTTATGGAATGCAGGAGGGAGCTGTAGCCAGGAAGTGGTATTTAAAGGTGGTGAAGATGCAACTTCTCACTCGTCAGCTCTGCCTAGGCTGAGGTCTCGGGTCGCTGCGCCTCACATGTGAAGGGAAGAGAGCGTCTCACTGAATCACAGATGAACTTCCCTTGTCTTGCTGACTCCAGAGGCCACCATCTCTAGCAGAAAAGTGGTCTAGCAGAAATGTGGTGCCCACATTTCTCATGTAACCTGCAATGCTGAATACTCAAGGCCCGGTGGTCCAGATTTGCCTACTTCAGGTCAGTTATTCCTGAAGATGTCCTGTTCTCAGCAGTCTTGCATGTGCAGTAATGCCTTGGCTTTGCGTGATCCCCTTCTCTGCTATGAGGCCTGCCAGGGTTAGGTACTCTGTAACTCAGGTACTGCTGAGTTTTCTGTTACCTCCTCACTCTGGAGGATATCATAAAAGGACAGGCCTTGCACTTGGGATCAGCAGATATAGGAAACGGACACGAGCTGCTGGGCACTGAGCGGTCCAGCAGGTGGGGAGAAGGAGCCACTGACAGAGAGAGTCATCTCTGACATCTTCTACCAGGGCAGAGACAGAGAGGAGGGAGAGACACAGAGAAAATAAACGAAATAATGCTGAAGAAAATCAAGCTGAAGGGAAAGGCACCCACAGAAGGACGTGGGCACGAGGGCACCCTGCCACGCACAGGCTCCACAGACTCACAGTTGTCTGGTCTTCCTTGCTCTGCTTGCAGAACACGAGAGCTTATTCCATGCTGAACTAACTCCTCCTCCTTTGCAGGACACAGGGGTATAAGCACAGAGAAAATCCACCTGCCTGTGMTCACAATGAGGCAGAATTTGCCTCTTTCTCTGCCTTGGCATTTTCTATTGCAGAATCATCTTGCTGGTCAGATCCAGTGGTTGAAATGCCACCTGCTCCTGCAATGCCAGGCTCAGAGCCAACACAGCTCATCCGAAGCAAGAGACACCTCGTGTCCCAGAGCTGCCCCAGCAGTGCAAGTGAGCTGAGCTTTAAGTTTCCCTTGAGCAGAGATTTCTGCTTTATGAGGGCTGTGATAAAGTACTGGGAGTTCCCCTGGAGTCCTTCCCTGGGGAAGGAAGCACCTAGGAAGCACCTAAGCTCACCTGAAAACCCTCCCTCAACTATGAGTCTTTCATTTTAATCTTTGAGTAGTCAACGCTTGTGAAACACAGGATTAAAAAAAATGGSTATGAAATTGGCTTAGCTGTGATGGGGGAGAAGAAAAGGATTTCTATTTTGATGTGGGAAATGCAAATAAAGGCAAAGCAGATGAGACTGAGCAATGACACAGGGCTCCAGAGAAAGGTGGCTGCTACAGAAAGGCAGTCAGTGAAACACGTACCCACAAGGCAGGCTGCAGCAGCCAAGGACAATCTCCTTTCAGCTCTAGCACCGCCTTAATGCCTCAACTAAAGAAGGAATTAAGGCAGTTTGACCTGCCTGAAGTTTTAAGGACTCAGCATTTCTCGGACAAATTACTTCCATGAAAATTAATGCTCAATCTGATTTTTTTTTTTAATGGCGCACATAGGGAGTTAAAATTTKTGCCCTGACTGGTGGCTTAAGCCATCACCTGAGGAGCCAGGTGAATCGGAGCACCTACAACTTCCCCAAAAGGAAACTAATGGGATCTGGCACGGAAAAAGGAAGAGCAAAAAGGAACTTGTCCTTCCCGGGAGCGCCCGGGGCTGCAGCTGGGGCTGTCCTGAGGCAGGTACCTCCACGGCAATGCTGAAGTCGATCATGGAGACGCTGGTGTTGCGGTGCCAGCAGACGTGCACCGTGGTGTTGCCGCGGTGCGGGGCCTGCCGCTCCAGGGAGGTGCGCGACGCGCTGAGGTCCTCCTCGGATTCCTGGTCCGCGGGAGCTTCATCCGGAGACTCTGCGAAATGCAGGGAAAAAGCATCTTTCTTCCTCTGTGCGACAACATATGCAGTTGGAAAAGTTAAACAAAYCAGCACTGTTCACTAGCTTGTGAACTGGTTTCAGAACTAATAATTTCACTTCTTTCAGAAATAAYTTTGTGCCAATGTTAAAGAAGTAGCCTAATTTTTTCTTACGTTCTTCGTTCTGCAAGTTCTGGAGTCAAAGACTGGTGCTTTTACTACCAGCTGTACTGGTGCTTTAATATCTCCTAAGGACAGGCAATGCCCCAAATGAGCTCATAAAATCTGCTCCCTGAAATCATGACGCTTAAGTCACTTCTCATTGTTAACATTAAAATTGATATATATATATATAAACACACATATATATACRCTCATCAACATATATACTCATCAACTTCAGATGTGTTATTTTGACTTGTGGCCAGCATATTTCACCACACTGCTCATATGGAACCACCAACCCTACCAACATCAGCAAGGAAACCTGCTGCTTTGCAGCATCCACTCACTGCTGTCCGGAGGGCTGCTGGCCAGCAGCTCGGGTGCGGGGCCACTGCTCTTCTCTGCCAGGTCGATGGCCATCTGAATGTCCTCGGTCCACTTGTCCATTTCGGCACGGGTACTGGCAACGAGAACCCTGGGTTTATTGCACTTCCATGGGATGAAAGCAGATGCTGAGAAGCAGTCAAGAGCTGGACTTACTTTCTAATTTCTCTAAATAAATATGAATATGAGATGCTATTTTTTTAATAGCCTTGGTTATGGCTTGCACAGCTGCCACTGTTTTTAGTTTCATTCACATTTCTCTTTTTACAAGAGGCTTACACAGAAAGACATCTTCGAAAAGGTTTTAGGAGCTGATCGGAAGGACACCTCAGCTCTGTGCTCTGCTGCCCATCCCACTCCGAGTGCCTTGGAGAAACATCATGTGCAATCCCACCTGGACTGTGTAAGGTGGTTCCATGAGTTACCTTGCAGCCACGATGATGGACTGGTGCTGCCCTCGCAGCGTCAGGCAGTGGGGAACCCCCCATTCCTCCTCACTTTCTTCTATCTGAGAGAGAAAAGCCCAGGTGAGGCGGCTGGCGGCAGGCAGGCAGGTATTAAACAGGTCAAAACAGTGACAGGAGCAAGATCCATAGGCTCTTGCCATCGGGAAGACCGAGGTAAAAGAAACGCTTGCAAATGTAACACTGAGCCAGGCAAAGAGCAAAAGTGATGGCCTGAAAGTTGGAAAAAGTGCAAGTTCTGCAGTAACCCCTTATACCCCAGGCACTGCTTTGTCTGCTTTGTGTCAGAGGAGGAAACTACTGCCAYGTTTTATAGTAGGGTGTTTCATAACATAAAATCATATGTCAAGGGGTAGGAGCACTCTGAACACTGCAGTGTAACATACACTGTTGTGAAAAAGCCTGTGCCACATGGACAAAAATAATTGGGTAGATTCCTGGAATTAACAGCTACTACTTGAAGCCTCACAGGKGTTAAGCGAAACTTAGCTCTGTGCTGGTCATTATCTAACAACTCGATCTTTGGGAAAATCAGATACAAAACCATGAGAGGTTGTAATGAAAATAACAGGGGATAGGTGAGTGCTTTGAACCTAGAAAAAGTGTTTTTCTAAATCACAGAGCAAAAAGAGATATTACGAACTAGTTGCTTAAATGGTCCATTTCCCAGGAGAAGTGCAACAAGGGCTCAGACTGACACACTGCTGCCACTTTCCCACTATGTCTTTAAGTTATACAGATGGAAACACTACAAAACATCTTTTTGCAGAGATAAAATTGTCCGTGCTGGTTATATGCCTGGCACATTGTTTCTATAAGCAATTGGTGATGGATTACTTGTAAGACTCACGTTTGAATTTATGAAATTCTTACAAGAATCATGGTTATATTTGTGGTTTGAAAATAAAAAAAAAAAACATAGGTGAAATTTGCATTATGAGGACCATGGAAGAAGCTATCCTCAAATGTTATTTTTCCACTTCTGCTATATAATCACCTTTGTTTGGAAGGTTCCTAGAAGAGATGTCAAACCCAGGTAGTTGTGCCTCAGCTAATCATGACCCCAGCTTCTCTGACAGGCACAAAGCTGATCAGGAACAACCTTTTTCTCTGGTGCTTTGCAGTTCAGCAGGAATTAATCAAGTAACTAAGATGAGGCCTTAAAAGGCCATTTAAGTATGACTCCCTTAAGTTCGTACTGTTGTACTTACTGTCATGTCATAGAGCGGTAGATGCCCATGGACTTTGAACTGATTTGATGCTGTCAGGCCTCTACTGGTATAGAGCAAAATATCATTAAACTGAAAAGCAAGGAAGAACATTAGAATTATGGTGGCAGATAAGAACAGAAAAACAAATCAGAACACTAAGTATGGGATGTCCTGCATATGACTGTAACCACCAAAAACAGGCTGAAAAAATAGCTGCATTTTGCTGGGTGCCATAACACACGTGCCACTTAGCTGGGCTAGCTGGGCCAAGGGATATTTTTCTCAAACAAGACAAGTGCATCAGCAAGAAAATCAATCTAGGATGTGAAGCAGAGCTCTCGCCGTGGACTTCTACAACTTAAGAGCAATAAATCGTGAAGTTGTGTGGATCTGCCACTAGAGGGGGTTTTAATTTTGCCAACGATTGCACACAAATTCTGAGTCATAGAAAGCAGAGCCCGGATTTTATCTCCAAAAAGACTGTGCTGCTTAAGATGGACAAAAGACTCTCCTGTCAGTGTGAGCGACTGGCACAAAGCAAGACGGCTACTTGATGACTCCAGAGTGTAATCTTGTTTTTTACAATGTTTTATACATGTATAGCGTTGAGGTATCATCTGGTAACAAGAATTGTGGTATGCAAGAAAACATTTGCCATATTTATGAGGGCAGCAAGGCATTCAGGGGAAATTACAGGGCTCTGGGATGAGGTTATGTGTGGAATAGGTCCTGACAGCATTAGGGAGATTATCTTTGATATCACCACGAGTTACAATTTACATCCTTCCTGGCCGTGATGACTAACCCTGGTGCTGCTTCTTGTTCTGTGCCGACTCCACGTTTGTGTGAGGCATAGTTGCTAGGGGGCATCGCTTTATCATGGTAGGCACAGGATCATGCGTAAAAATAGTGGGATTTTTGTAAGAAGTAGTCACTAGGAGACAGAAACATAAGCTATTCCTAATAGCCAGACTTAAATAAGACCATTTGAAAATGTTTGCTGTGATTCACAATTCAAGCACAATCCAATAATGTGCCTGTCAAGTAGGTATTAATTTTTTTTGAGTATTTACATTTCCTTAGATACAGGAAAACTGTCTTCTTGCTTACCAGGAAGAACATCCGTTGCTGTAAACCTTTTCCGGACAACTTACTAAGACTGCCCAGTCTAATGAACTCCTGTAGGAAAAACAAATATATTATATAGCTTCTACAAAAATGATCATGCTTTGTACTATGAAAAAATAAATGTGATTATGTGGTAATAGCAATGACTTGATAGTCACTAAAACTCTTTATTTTCTTCATTAAATACTTATGTTAAGATCTTACTTACCAGGATAATCATTCTGCGATTCTGTGATACTATGATAATCTTACTTTATAGGATAACTGCTTTCTATTCATAACTTCCATATACAAATATTGTAAGGCATCAACCATTTGATCGTCTTTTGGAAAATTCACTTTTGGAATTCCCAGCTAAGCAAAATTACCTCTTACTGACTCATCCAGTCACCTATCTTCTCCATCCATTTTGAACAGGAATTTTTCATATTAAAAATGATGCAATTACCAATGGCAACGTTGCTCCCACATTATTTGCAAGCAACTGGCCAGCTGTTGTTGTGTGTGTGGCAAACATCTTAGCTCTTTGCAGAGGCATCAAACCAGCTCAACACACCCGTGACAACAGCAGCTGCAGCTGGCAAACAGGGAAATTTGTCCAGCAGTGTGAGCTGTCCCAATACAGTCCATGTCATACATTACAGTGCATTAATTCACATCAAACTGTTTTAAAATCTCGAGGGATGAAATTATAGGAAGAGTAGCATATGTGAAAGAGCCAAAAGACTAGGATTTCCTGGGATTATTGTCAACTATAAAGTAATTTACCCTTCCACTTACTTACCCGAAACCCACCAAAACCTCAATTTTTCACTCACTCCCTGCAGCTCCTGCCAAGAGGTCTGCATTTATTTACTGCAGTCTTTCAGTGGTCACTCTACTCATAAGCGTGCATGGGAAAGGCACATGAAGCACCAGGATCACCTGCAGCTTGGCAATAAGCTGCCTGTGGAGGCTTCACGTGGCCAGAGAAGCTCTCCCGTTGCTGTAGGGTCCTGCCCAGTCCCCCTACCTGGGCTAGAAAAGGGCCTCTCATGCTCCTCACAGGAACTCGAGGAGGACATTTCTGTGCGGTGGGAAGCTCACACTGCTGCAGCCACCACTGGAAGCTGTTGTTGGCCACCAAAGGGTCTTGCTCGGGACTATCATTTACAGYGATGGTCACTGCAGGCTGAGCACCCCGAGGAAGGAGCGCTATGAGCAGCAGCAGCAACTCAGGGCCTCCGAGAGCAGAAGAGACCTCGCGTAGGATCCCGCTCAGGGGCAGAACAGCCTGGGCACCTCTGAAGATGTTGCTACCCAAAACCGCCACCCAAAGGCAGCAGAACCGCGTCCCTCACGTGAGACTTGTCCTCTGAGCTGGCCTGGGGTCTCCTCAAGGGCGCTCGCTGCCCTGCAGGGGCTGATGGCCTTTACACCGCCTGCCTTTTCCTTAGGCAGCTTCCTGGGAGCCGTGCAGCTCTGCCTCCAGGTGGAGGCGGGCAGCAGCCACAGCAGCTCCGCAGGGGTTTAGTTTTACCTCAGAACTGCGCGGGCTGCGGCAGGGGCTGGGGGAGCGGCCGCCGCCATGGCCGCTCTGCAGGGGCTGAAGGGAGGCCATGAGGCCAAGCAGTAGAGCGGGGAATTGTAACGAGGCGAGAACTAAGAGGGAAAAAGGGATGAGAAGGGGAAGCCTGGCAGAAGAGGGGACTCCAATGAGGGTTTGCCTTTGGTGCTGTTAAAGACATGTTTGTCGCTGGCGTTACGGGACCGCGGCATCCCCGGCTAGGAGGACGCCCTTCAAGATGGCTGACTGGACAGACGCCGGGCCCGGTGACAAGGAGCCTCTCTGAGCACTCGGCACTGCGCCGCCGCGCCGCCCTCTCTGGGGCACACCGTGTCAAAACGCCCTTTCTAAATGCCAACATCCTCACATTAATTAAAATACGTTAATTAGGAGACGTGCGGCTGTGAGGGCTGCTGAGCGATGGTCCAGCGTTCCTGCAAGAGGCTGCTGGGCTATGGGGAGGGATCAGACACCGACACTGGCACAGGCACAAAACTGGTCTCCTTTCCCAAGCTGCTTCCCAGTGCATTTCCATGGCATTTCAGCTGCCAGGAGCTCTTTTGCAGGATGCACGCAAGCAAAGGGAGGAGGGAGGCGTGACTCYGCCAAGACGGCTCTCAGGTTTGCACACGGGAAAGCAGGAAAGGCAACAAACACTACAGGAGGCTCGTGTGTTCTGAAATAACACGCACTTTAACAAGAAARATGATGGCAAGCAAAAGAAGCTGTCTGCATTTTTTAAAACACGATTAACGGTATTTACTTAGGGCAACATTGTCTCAAAAATTATTGCACCACGTTACATGCAGACTAAAGAGACTGCTTGTCCCCAAGGCCATGTGCTTCAAAGCCAAGCATTGTGAAAGGGCTAAGGGTCTTCTAGCACGAATGCCTTGCTTTCCTTTAAGCTGATATGCTCTCGTATTCAGGATAAAAACAAAAGATTAAGGGCAGCAAGAAGTGAGGAAATGTGTAACTGCTTGAGCTCCGAAAGCTGTTACAGTTTTACTGCCTTTCAATAGATGGTTGAAATTGCTTGCAATCATCGAAATCTGTACATAAAATAAACCTAATAAAGATAAAATCACTAAAAAAGATAAAGATGATTGTGTCTTCTCACTTCAAAGGCAGCTGCTTGCTATGGTATTGCTACATTCACATTTGATAGTTTTCCATGAAAGGCTCACACAAGGAAAGGCAATTCCACAGCTGCTCCTGAGAAACAGACCTCTAAGCCTTGCCTAATGCCTTAAAACGCTATCAGGCCCTAATCACAGTTCTGCTACTTACCCTTCCTGGGATCACCAGATTGTCTATGCCTATCAGGTCCTTCTTGAGTTCATGCAGCTTCTGGAAGTTCTCCATCTTTATCATATTGCTGTGGAGCTGCGCCACCATTTCGGAAATCTCAGCCAAAGCAGCTAGAAAAGTAAAAACAGAAAATGCTCACTAAAAAGTTGCAAGAGGGAGGCACCTGGGACCCCTAAGTCCACACAAGCAGGCCACAAAACCCCTCCCCTCAGCAAGAGGTTGCCTCTTGGCCACTAGGCTGAGTTTGGGCCAGCAAATTTGCCAGGTGCTCAGGCTCCTGCCACTAGGCAAGGGCTGGGAAGGCTTGACCTCCTGAGGGTCTATGGACTCCTTTCAGCTGAGGCCCTTGATACACTCATCCGATGGAACCGGCAACTCTGAATGGGCCAAACTCTGCATATGACTGATTTGGGTACTAGAAAAGAAGTTATGGTTATTTGCATTAGGAAAAAAAATAATAAAATTAAAAAAAATAATAAATAAATAAAAAAAAAAGGGTATGGGAAGAGGTAACAGTGGTTTCCCCTTACTGCTTACCATGTGGTTCATCCTCCTGGTAAGTGGAGACCTGTGTTCACATCCCCACCTCCCTTTTTTTGCACTCAAACCTTTAAGAAAAATCCCCAAACACCTGAGTAAGAGACCATCATCCCAGAGCGAAGGTGTCCCCGACTTGCACTTTCCTTCTCGAGCTGTCTTAGTCTGACTCCTGCATCCTCTATTTGTGCCCAAATATCCTGCCCATTTCTCAACTGCAGCAAGGCYCAAACCACGTCAGCTGCTGCACTCTCCTCATCACACAGCCCCAGTGAAAAGAAACCAAGGAGCTACTTGCTCTGTGCTCCAGGAGGTGATGAGAGCAGTAACTACATTTAGGCAAACATTTTTGCCATGCAAGTCCCTCGGTGCCACAGACTGTCGTAGCATTTCCCCTTGCCACAGGCCAGGCTGCCCTCATGCTCTGCGTTTGGCTCTTGCTGTGGGGCACAGGACCCTCCTGGCTCCACAGGGAATGGGGCATCCACCTGGAAGGAGCTAAAGCCACCACTGGGAGCTGCGGTGCTGGGCATTGCCCCTGCCCGGGTTCCCCTGGGCTCTGTCCTGAGCGGGACTGTGATTAGCAGCCACATGGCTGCTCTGGGTGTCCCTGCTGGAGCAGGCGGATTGGACTAGATGATCTCTAGAGGTCCCTTCCAACCTCAGCCATCCTGTGACTCTGTGAAATGTGTGTTGCTTGTGATGGGGGGCGGCAGGAGCCAGCAAGAAGGAAGCCAGACATGGGAAAGAAATGGCAAGCAGTGAGCTCAGACCTCGAGAGGAAAAGCAACTTGTGTTTGAGAAATACACGCTGGCAGCTTTGAGCTCCTAAAACAGAGCATGGAAACGGTAATAGAACAAGCTGTATGTCTGGAAAAATAATATGCTCTTTAAAGATGTAATAAAAGCAGCCATTCTGGGCCAGATCAATGGCTCACCTGGGCTGACACTTTGTTGTTCCTAGGGGATACCTAGGAAAGCTAAGAACAAGAAAAGCACATATGATACGTCCCGTGTGCTCTCTCCCACCTATTTTCAGTTCAAGGGACTTCCTCAGCTGGATGTTGTTTCTGTGTTTTTAATAACCCTCAGCAGATTCCTCTTCCAAGTACTTGCCCAGACTGTGCCGTAATGTGTATACAACAGCAACCTCAGTCCTACCAATTCTGGACTGCTGAGTGCTTCATTTTGCAACTTAATCCTCTTTTTAACACAAGCTTAAAGAAATAAAACAGTTTGTTCACCTAGCAGTGTGTGTGTATCTGTAACATGACTGGACGCTGCTTCCCAGCTCTGGGAGTGCACAGAGCTCCTCTCACCTCTCGAATCCCTGAAGTCTATGTGGTTTGGCGGGTAGTGCTTGCAGAGCCTCTCCATTATCTGCTTGTAGTGCATGAGCCTGTGCAGGGGCCGCAGCAGGAAGGTGTTGAGGGGCAGGTAGCAGACTTTCTGCAGCTCAAAGTCCCTGCAGAGGGTCTCCAGCTTGCGCGAGCTCCTGATGCCGGTCTCCAGCTCCACCAGGACCTCCTCGTGCTTCCGCAGGTGAACCGTCAGTTGCTGGGGGCACCGAGGAGGGAAGCACACGGTAGAGCTGTCAGCAAACACTCTGAGATGGGGCTGAGCTGGGACACCAGGCAAGACACCCAAGGTCGAGGAGATCACACGGACACAACTCACAAGCAGGCACCATGGGGAGGATTAGACTACACGGATGCAGAGATGAGAAACAAAATGGTATTTCCTAGGGGGATGAAGGGGTTTAGGGCTCCCTTCGGTGCTTTGGGGCAGCTGAGACGCAGGCAGAGGGACTTCTAGTTTCTCTTTCCCTGTTCTTAAAGAGAAGTGGCATCCGCTGGGAAACTGAACAGACAAAACCATAGGAGAGGTCCAGCAGAAAGGGCTACAGCAGCACTCCCCATCCACGGGTTACATGTGCTGATGTGCCCCGGGTCTCTGCAAAGATGCCCGGCACGGGTTAACATGTGGGTTAAGACCCCSGCAAGTGAGCGAGCTCTGCAGGCAACTTCATTTTGGTCGCTGCATCACAGACATCACAGGGCTGATTTAAAACAACCCACCAGTATTTGGGGGCCTGGGGAGCTTCATGTGTGTTTTGCTCAAAGCAAACTGCTCCTGTCAGAGCAAACTGCTGCCCAGAGCTTCTCGGGGCAGCCCAGGAAGGTTCCTCTTTGCTGGGTGGACTATTAATAAGCAACCAAAAGGAACTGTTTATATTGAATGCACTTCAGAAAGCAATCTGGCTTAATCTAAAGCTCATGGGCTCTTTGACAGGTTTCCAATCAACCCCCTCTCTCTTGTGATTGCTTCCATAGCAGAAATGTAATTTCCCTACAACCAAGGGGCTTTCTCCGTGCACATGTTCATTCTGCAAGCCTCTAACGGACAAGAGGCAAAGAAGCAAAGCCAAGGGGTCCCTCTGGGCTACTGCTGAGGTTGCCCACTGACCACTCGCTCCTCACTTCTTTCCTGGGCTAAGCAAACTAGGAGCACTTGATCTTTTAAAAGGTCCCATGACAATGCTGACATTTATTCCTGTGGAGGTCCTTAAGTCCAATTGGATTTTGCTTCTCTCCTCTGCACCCCTGTAGTTATGAGCGGTGGCACTTCTGAAAGCAAATGCCACAAGATCCTCTAATGACAAAGAGAAAAGCAAAGGGGAAAGCACGCAGAGAGGTCTAAGGAAAAACCCCTGCCCTCTAGCAGTGCCACAGAAGGGCCCACAGACACTGAAGAAGAAACAGCTTAACGCTGGAAAGTGCTCAGAGCTGAAGCACAAACTGTGAGAAGTTTAGAGACTCCAAAAACCCTTTGTGAAGAGTCGTGTTATTGAGGATGGGCAGGGAGGTATAAAACTTTCCCCTGCATTTTTTCCAACAGAGCTGAAACGTGTYTCGAGGGCAGAAAGCTGCTCCTGCTAAGTACACTGCAGGAAGGGTGAGGGCACTTTGTTGGGGACAAATTCGTGTTTTCGTTGGGGATAGTAAATCAAAATTTTGACATTCTGTTTTTCAAACTCACTATATAATCATTGGCATATCACTTAACCCCTCTATCCATCTCTCTGAAAGATAAGCTTAATGCTCCCTGCCATCTCAGCAGAGCTGTAAAGTCTAAACAGCCAAAGACTCGAGGCTGCTTAAGTGCAGGATGCAAAGTGACAAATCACCAAGGAAAGGCAGAGCTGAGATTTGCAAAAGCACTTTGAGATGCACGTGCAAAAAGGATGCCGTGCCACCTTGTGCCAGACACCTAATAATGATGAACTCCGCGTGGGCATCCAAGACTTTTGGCTAATTCCCAAACGATCGCTAAAGAAAAGATGCCCCACAGTTAATAGGACTGRATGCCTAGATACATTAATAAGTGTTATTGGTGGGGACTGTGAACGTTGGTAGTGTTTCCATAGGCTCTCGTGCCTGTGCTCCGTGCTGCCTGTTCCAAAAGTAACTATCATCATTTATTCCAAAAGTCTTCCATCCAACTTGCACAAATGAAAGTTTTCTAGCTCCWCTCGCTGTCCAGACCGCAGCCACTGCTCATGCAGTATCTTAACAGTTATCTTTGCACGCAACCACACTCTGCCACTGAGCCATCCCTTCAGACATACAAATTTGGAACTTGCCCTAATTGGAAGATTAACGAATTAGAAGTGAAATGCTCCTGAATTTGCATGCATGCTGCCCCTATATTCAGAGAAGAGATTGAGGAAAAGGGGCTGGACAATTTAAAATCATGAATTTGCAAATCTCAGTGCTCTCCTTCATCAGCGGAAGCTTTTATAGCATAAACTTGGATCACAATGGACAAAAACCACCGCAAAAGACACCACCATATGACAATGAAACGCACATTAATACTAATCCATGTCAAAGCTTAGCAGTTACTGGATCATTCCTACCTTCATGCTCTGAATGTTCTTCAGCATAACATCCCCAATTCTTTGGTAATCTCCTTTAATGTGAGCATTAGAGCGGCCTTCCCTGTCAGCAACAGAAACATCAGACACTTGAGTCGGGCAGTGCAAGTGCATAATCACTTACAAGCACACAAAGGAGCTCAACAGCTCATTTCTTTCAAGAGCTGAAGCCCCAGTGCTCCTTAGCTCGGGAGCACGTGGAGAATCTTCCTGATGGATATTTTAATTCCCACGGAGGGCAGCACGTTCTTCACCCAGCCGCCTCGTGCTCCTCCTTGTGCAACGCAGAGGGCAGGCACTTAAGAGATGGATTTGATTTTTGTAGAAAATTGCTAGCATTTTTAATGACGTGAGAGAAGGCTGGAAATGGCTTGAGGAAGAGCGAGATGTTGAAGCACTGTCACAAACAACAGACAATTCAGTGAAGTATCGCACCCAGGAGCAGGATGTGCAGGGGCTCGCCCTCCCCAAAACCTTCTGCTCTCACCAGGGGTAGTGGAAATAAATAAAAAAATCTACCCAGCATCTGTGTTTGACCTGTACGTGTCACATATTGGCAGGGAACCTTCTTTGAGCGTGTCACTTTTGGTGTTAGAAATGYAAAATGCTCCCTCCCGTCCCACCAGCTGTGCTTGGGTGGGGGCTCCACTTGGGAGCAACCACACTTCGGATGAGAAAGATCTTCCCATGGAATAGTGAAGTGAATCCAAATACATCTTCTAGAAAATACAGCAGGAAAAAATTATGACCACAAGATCCTAACTGTTAGAGCTCTCTTCTAATTTAGTTGGATTTCAGAAAGAAAATCTCTAGGGTGAATGATGTGAGTATCACTGCTTCTCCCTTCCCTCCCTCTTCCAGCCTCTAATATTACACCCAAATTTCCTGCAGCACAGCTTTTTACGGGCTGTCCTCAATTCTTAACACTCAGATCAACACCAGAGATGTGTATTGGGAGGCAGATCCAGTCCTGGAGCCCAGGAATGAGGACAGAGGTTTGGCCCGGTCGCTAACGTGAGAAGTGCTGCTTCTCAGCCCGGTAGTAGGTCCCTCTTTCAAGAAAATCTGYGGTGCTGGGAAGGAATTAATGGACAACCAGATGGTAAATCTCTGCATTTCTTAGTAAAAGCAATTTAAGCCAGAGAGGTTTCGCACTCACCAAATCACAGAAGAGGCAGCTATTAGGAATATATGTTACCCTGGTAAGATATACCGACTTTTTTTTTATTTTTTTCTTTTTAAATCTGTACATTTTTGCATGAATAGATGCCTATTCAGACATATTTTGTTTTGCAAAGATAAACGCTGAACAACCTCCCTCTACTCGCTTTTCCACCTGGGAAAAGGGGCCCTGTTTAGGAATACTGCACAGCCTCTTGCAAGAGAAAGGGGAATCCACTGATAAATCGGGGATGGCTGCGTGTTCATTTGCACAAATCCCCAGTTTCTTAGGCTGTCTTTAATTGGGCCTCGTTGTGCTAACTCTCCAGGCACCCACATGCCTATTTAAGCATGAAAAACACAGTTTTCCACAGGGCTGTTTATGTTTTCCTGAAACCAGAGGTTACAGGGGGCCGGGAGGTTGGGCTGTGGCAATGGTGGCTCTAACGAGCTGTACCCGCTTTGCAAAAGCACCGCATAAAACAAGCACTGTTTTGTTGCACTTAGTTAAAACACACCTAAGAAATGCCCTGTATTGCAGGGGGCAAGAGAGGCACACATGGATGGTACGAGTCTAGAGACACTCAGAGGGCAGAGAGAGAAGTCCAACTTCTCTCTGCAGGAGGTTTCTGCTGGTCGTCACCCATCCTCTCCATGCTGTCTCCTCCCTATTCCATGCCCATCTCCTTTCCTTTCACATCCAGACTCCCTCCACCACTGCTCTGGGGCCACTTCCCACCACCAACACTTTGCTGAAAGAGATAAAAACCCAAGTGGCCCCAACTAAACCCCCCAACCAGGTGAAGTGCAGCATGGGGGCACCACGGTGGCAGCAGGGGAAGTCGCCCCCAACCTGCGTGGCCATCGCGGCACCCCCGGGACAATTCACACAGTTGCACATTCCCACACACTCCCACATTCCCAGAAACACCAAAGCCGGATAAATGGCACCGCTGCCAGGAACAACACAGCGTTTGGCAGCAGGCTCTAGGGGAGCTCAGGCTTTGCGTGCTGTTCTCCAGCTCTCTGCCGTTGTCAGGATCCTTTTGCATGTGTCTGCAGCTGATTTAACCCAGMGGCTTCCAGCCGTTCGCCACCCTTCTGGTTTACTGCCAAGGCAAACGTTAAGGACATCTTTATTGGCTGCTATTTTTAAATTAGAAAATGGCTTTTCTGAACTCAAGGTTACGTGTAGTTTGGCTGGAACGCTCTTTGCCAAGCCAAGCTCCTACCTGCTAGCTACCTCAGCTAATACTTGGTGCAGTTGTTTGGTGAACAGTTGGGTCCTTATCCGCCACAAGTTGCCTGCCTGCCCTGACTTGAGCGCAGCGGCACGGGCAGCTCCACCAGCGCTTCTCCATGAGCTTCGGCCACGAGCTGCCCCGGGGCTTGTTCAGCTGTCCCAGGGCTCTCAAGCCCCATCCTGCATCTTGCCAGAGGAGACAGAGAGGCAGAGAAATGAGTTCCCCCAACGCGACAGCGTCTCTCCAGCCACTGCCTGCAGAGCCAAGAGCTGAGTCACGGCAGAGCCATCCGACAGAGCCAACGGGGACAACCTGCACCGGAGGCAGCCGAGTCCCGCTCCGAGAACTGGAAGCCCGAGGAAACACGGAAATAGGACAGCCCAGTGTTGTTCCTGCCTCCAACCCTTGTCCCGGCTTCTCTCATGGAAATGCAGCCCCTCGAAGCAGCAGCGATTTTCTCCCTAGGGAGAGTGCGTAGGCAAGGCACGTTGGCTGCCGTGCACGCCAGGGGGGCAGGGGAAGCTGACACCAGGCATGGGGACAATAGGGGACAAGCAGGACAGTTTCATAGCTACCTCCTACAGTGCCTCCTCTGCTCCAGCCCTGCTGTCTCCCAAGACTCTCCACCAACCTCCATGCTCCCAGCTCCTCACCAYGCAAATCCCAGCAAACCAAAGAAAAGATCCCCCCAGGAAAGGGCACCTCACACTACAGAAGATACAAACCAACTGCCCACCCATGCCACGTGGTACCTCTGGGCTCCAGCAGTCAGAAGGGCACGAAGGGGAGAGCGCTCCCCACGGCTCACGCCCCAAGCAAAAGCACTCGGCCTCCTGAGGGGGAAGAAGTTGCCCGTTCGTTGTGCATTGGTGCACAACAAGAAATAGCTCTTCTGGCTCCTGGTCTTCATGGGTCACTGTTCAAACACGGCCTCTCTTTGCCAGTGACAGGGGATGGAGCTGAAAATGGGGGGACTCGCTTCGTAGAGATTTCCAAGATGGAACTGATTTATGATGCCCCAGCTCTATAGAAGATATAGGAGCTGTTTTTCACACTACTCATAATGTGCCCTTAACCAACGCTGAGTGGGGAGGTCTAATGCCACTGAAAATGGTACTGAAGAGTAGATCTGTTATTCTGTAAATATGCTCATTTCCCTCTTCGTACAAACAGTCCTGTCCTCTGTAACCATGAGGCAAGCGTGCAGCTGTAAGCGAAGAGGAGGAGACTGCCTCCTACACCTCATCAGGAACTCAGGTATAAGTTGATGCTATGAATATATACATACACACATAACACAAATATATATGAGTCTGATGCTACCTGATATAATTTTAAAACCAGCCACCAGCTCAACTTATAGAGACCTCGCAAGCAGCTAGGCTGGACTTTTGGACTGTGCAGGCTCCTCAGTGTACATCATAGAGAATGAAAGAAAGGAAATCCAAGACCATCAGTCATTCAAAACCACTACTGCAAGGAACAAAAATCTGATGGGGTAGGTGGGCAGGCAGAGAAGGAAGAAAAAGCATCTCCGTGTAGGTTTCTTTCTTTCAGCTAAATGTAAAAATCTCAAATGCAGCCTTGGGAAGAAAGATATTTGCACTGTGTGACCCTCTGTTACACACTACAGAACAGTGTCTCCCTCCTGGATATTGTGGCTTTTCTTTAGGCACTTAGGCACTTTTGACTTTTTTTTTTTGAAGTGCCTGAAGAAGTTCTAATACTAAAAATTATCCTAAAACTCCCCATTAATGTTGCCTTAAAAAAAAAAAAAAAAGGTTATTTTGCAACTGGAAGAGATGATAAAAGCTACGCAGCATCTTTCTCTCAGATACCCTACAAAGCAGCATTCAGCACCCTGCCCATTTCAGTCAACACTGTGAGGTGCCTCAGAGTAGAAAAAAGGGCCCTGCAAGAGCCAACGGAGTTACCAGAGCTCATCCAAACCCTCGGGGAGGGAACACACGTTTCAAGACTTGTTCTTGGGAACTCCTGTCTCCTGTGCAAGAAACCCAATCCGCCTCAAATCCGGTGTGGTAAAACTTTTAAAAGTAAGAGTTCCAAGCAAGTGAAACCTTGCCAAGAAGACACACTGAAAACACAACACCACTTGTACTTACTCTGTAGCGGCAGCTCGTCACTGGGAATCCTGGACACATCTCACTGGAGGGATGAATATAACAGGACTTTGAGCCTGACCAAAGGATCYGGGCCTAGCTATGCCTTTCTCATCCCTTCAGAGCCATTTGGGTGTAGCACATCCCTGATCTCCAGATGTACCCAARAGTGACTTGAGTAATGCAAATTTTCCTTTCAAAAGCAAGCTAGCTACAAAATATGTATCTCATTCCTTTAAATGTGCTCAAAGGCACCTTTGAAATTATGGCCTAAAAGACATAAATTATGGTTCCTAAAAAAATAACAACGAAAACGCCAAGCCTCCAAACAAACACAAACCAGCTGGATGGTTAAAACTCATATTTGAGAAGGCAGGAGGTTTTGCTCCTGCATTTATGTAAACCACTTATTAGGTTTTTCTGTCTGATCACAAGTGCTTTTTCTTAAACAAAAATGGTTACTAAATTCACATTTAGCTCATTTCTCTACACCTCTCTCCATGTTTTTTATTACAGGTTTCCAAACTGGCTCCTTCAAA